ATTAAATTAACATCCTGTATATGAAATTAATTATTTATTGAATTAAAATGTTTAATTTCATATGCAATTAATAATAAACACGTTCCAATTTCGTATCTAGTTCGATGTGTAAATTATAATAATAAAAATGCTGACTTATTTCAAAATTATTTTCAAAACATTGAACTAGAAAGACTGAAATTGGAATTAAAATATTTTCTAAGGTACATTTAAATAATTAAATAATATTAATTGTTATTGTATATTGTATATTCTGTGATAATATAAATGTAAATGCAAACGAAAAATAAAGAGAATAACTAATAACATGTGGTAGTATACTTTACAAAATTATCACTGAAATGAGATTCATGAAAACCATCTCGTGGTAGTAATTCTAAAAATTATCTTTGAAATCTATTCATGGTCCTTCAAGAACTTATTTTAACATTCCTTTAAAGCCACATTTAGAACTTCTAACTTTATCATTATGTTAGTTGTTAGAAATAAAGTTAAGGTAGACATCCTAGATCAATCAGGTAAATAAAGAATAACTTGTGCTTTGCTTCTATGTTGATAGCTCTTTTCGTAATTTCAAAGTGCAGATGCACTTTTTTCAACACCAACACCACGGGCTTTTCTCACTTTTCCAAGCACCTTTTAGATACTGGACATTGTGATTTCCAAAAAGTTTCTAGCAAATAACTTTGAAAACCTAAAAACTTTTAAAAAATATTAAATAACTTTCACGTGCTTCCTGAACACCCAAATCCAAATCATTAATAATCCGATTTCTCCTGCTCTTATCTAATATTTTTTCTACTTTTGTTTTTTCTATAATAATAATTATTCGTTAACTTACCATCTTTCTTAATCCAACCCCCGAATTAAAATTAATTTTCACATCATCACTAACGTGTTTTAAAAATACTTTTTTCAAGCATATAAATTTTTGAAATAAAATGAATTTAGCTCAAAGCCAATATCACACAAAATACAACGACCGTCTCCCCTTCATAAAACAGCTACTCCTTTGGCTAATACCGCAACAGGTATTGAATTACATCCGAAGGAAAGACAGCAGAGATAGACATTAATTTTCAACACTCTCTACTTTGATTTTGCTCACTAAGGAGAACATCATTCTTGGACCGGTTTCGTCCTTATTAGGACTCCTTAGCAAGAAATAGATAGGTTCTCAATTCCAGTCACTAATGGAATTAACAAATGCTACACATTTCACCAGTATAACATAAAGTTGGTTATGAAGAGAATAAGAATTCAAGTAGTGAAATGGTGTCACCATCTGTTCTTAGTAAGCAAAATCAAAATGCGCTGTAGTATCCAGTTAGAAAACTAGGTATAACCCTTAGACAAAAGAGACCAGAGATATAACATACACCGGTTTTAAACCTGCGCAAATTGTTGCCAATTTCTAAAGAAGGGTTAACGGAGGTGGGGAACTGGGCGGCGACACGCGGCGACCCGAACTCTGTGACAGGGACCGGACTTTGTTTATTAGCATATTAATGAACTATTAGGTTTATTTAAAAGGTGTGTAATCGAATTTTGTATTATGAAATAAAATTAACGTGATTTTTTAATATCAAACAGATGCCACGACATTTTATGTAAAGAGAAGACCTTTTATAGAATATTTCGTTAGCGTTTATTTACTACGGACTTTTCTGCAAGAGATTACAGTAAAATGTTGAAATAGTATATTGTTAATAGAGCAAAAAATGTTACTCATTGTCTACGAGTATTATAAAAATAGCATGTGCGCAGGCTAATACTGCAAATCTACCCTTATGAGTTGAACATTATATTTTTTCTACGGCTATTACATATTTTTAAAAATTAGTCAATGAGAAAATGCTGTTTTGTATTGTAACCTCAGAAAAAAGTATATTAAGGCTTCTTTCTTTAAGAATATTAATTATTATAAAGGATGAGTCACATAAAACTCTAGAAATGCATATGTCTGAAACCAGATAACATTTTAAAATTTAAATCTATTAAAAGTCATTTGGTCGCTAGGGATGAGTGATTATCGAAATAAATTATCGATCATTGAAAATAATCGATTATTTTCGATCAATCGATTATTTTCAAACAATATATTTTTTGTCATTTCCTTTAAAATCGACTACTTGATTATCTTTGAAAAATCAAAAATAATCGATTAATTAAAAAGCCAATTAACCGATAAATCAGTGTTTACAAAATATAATATAAATAGAATTATCGTTTATTTTAAATAATCGATTATTTTCAAATAAACCATTTTTTTTCGTACATAGAAACAGATTATTCGATAATCTTTGAAAAATCGAAAATAATCGATTAATCAAAAATAATCGATTAATTAAAAAGTCGATTAACTGATAAATCGATTTAAAAAAAAAACGAATGATCGATTATTTTAAATAATTGATTATTTTCGATCAATCGATTATTATCAATAATCTATATTTATTGTATTTCCTTTAAAATCGTTAATTCGATTATCTTTGAAATACCGAAAATAATCGATAATTCCAAAATAATCGCCTAATCGAAAATAATCAATTAATTAAGAAGCCGATTCTATGATAAATCGATTATTACCAATAATCTATTTTATTGTATTTCAAAAATAATCGATTAATTAAAAAGTCGATTAACTGACAAATCGATTTTCAAAAAAAACAGAATGATCGATTATTTTAAATAATCGATTATTTTCGATCAATCGATTATTATCAATAATCTATTTTTATTGTATTTCTTTTAAAATCGATAATTCGATTATCTTTGAAATACCAAAAATAATTAATAATTCCAAAATAATCGCCCAATCGAAAATAACAAATTAATTAAGAAGCCGATTCTATGATAAATCGATTTTCCAAAAAATAAAACGAATTATCTATTATTTTCTAATAATCCTTTTTTCATATTTCCTTTGAAATTGATTATTCGATTATCGAAAATAATTGATTATTAAAAAGCTGATTATCCAATAAATCGATAATTTTAAAAAAATAACCAAAATATCGATTATGTAAAATAACCGATTATATCCAATCGATTATTTTTATATAATATCTTTGAAAAATCGAAAATAATCAAATAATTAAAAAACCGATTAAACGATAAATCGATTATTTTGAATAAATCTACTTTTTTGTATTTCCTTTAAAATCGATTAATACATTATCTTAAAAAAAACGAAAATAATTTATTAAAAACAGCGGATAAATCGGTTTTCATTAAAAAATATCAGAATTATCGATAAATCGATTATTTTTATAACCCCTATCGGTCGCTTGCTTTTATCTGAGCATTTAGCTCTAAAATTTAGAGATTCAGATTTTTTTATCCAGTTATCTTTGAAATCGCATTCGATTGTATAATAAATAAATATTGCTAAATTTTGGATTTTCTTTAGTAAACGAAAATTATGTTCGAGTTGTTTAGGGGTTTGTAATGTAACATTTTATTAACGTGACTAAGAGTCGATTCCACCGTTGTGTTAAACGAAGTTTAAAATGACATTTTTACATTAACACTGTCATTTTAATCTCCGTTTAACACAACGGTGGAATCGGACCTAACTCCTGTAACTTTAGTATTTTTTTTTGCTTATACTAGATTACTTTGTTTTAAGACTGAAAATTCAATGTCACTTTCGATTTGACCGCAAATAAGATGAACCTTGAAATTTTAAGTAGGTCATCCTGTATTTCATCTAATATTCTTATAAAAATACCTTATAAAAATACCTTATAAAAATACCTTATGAAAATACCTTATAAAAATACCTTATAAAAATACCTTATAAAAATACCTTATAAAAATACCTTATAAAAATAAAATTTAGCTAGCAACTATGATTCTTTACCTCTTATTTATCTACCAAAAAGGGCTAAAAACTACCTTTAGAAAACATTCTTATAAAACTACTTTTTAAATACAAAATTTCGTTAGCAATAATGCCTATTTACTATTTATTTAAATTAAATGTTCAAAATTTTACCCTTTTGTAAATTTATGTAAGTAATATGAAATCTGATTTCTGATGCTTAATATTTATTGAAACCCCTTAATGCGGATCTGAAGTATTCCGCCCAGAGAATCATGGCGCTTTATGTCAAAACGTTAATAAATATTTACCGCTGAAAACGAATATATTCATAACAGTAGTACTTATATTATAAGTACATACAATTTTTCAAGATACATCGTGACATTTTGAACTTGAAATTAAATAACTAGAATACTTTAAATTGCTAAAATACCAACAAATAAATCAAAAAACAGCTGTCAATGGTGACTAAACTCAGGTGGAGGTGATCGCTGAATGGAAATCGGAGCAATTCGGGTGGCGTCGTGCAACAATGATTTTCAATTGGTGGGTTACTTTGGCTTAAAATAGACAACATGCGCAGTGCGTAATGTTACATCTTCGGTCTCTTTTATCTAAGGTGGAACCAAAAAGCACCAGGCGGGCAATTTGTAGACGAAAATAAATCAAAACTCAAATGTGATAGACGTAAATGAAATAAAATGAATTAAGCTCACACAAAATACAACGACCGTCTCCCATTCAAAAAACAACTACTCCTTTGGCTTGTACCGTAACAGGTATTAAATAACATCCGAAGGAAAGACAGCAGAAATAGAAATTAATTTTCATATATATAATATAATCATAATTATTCGTTAACTTACCATCTTTCTTAATCCAACCCCCAAATTAAAATAAATTTTCACATCATATACTTCTCACTAACGTGTTTTAAAAATACTTTAAGCATATAAATTTTTAATATTACTCCATTCTATACTTATTACATAAGTATTTACTGCATTTTAAAAGCACTTTTGACTTTTTCTAACATAACAGACTCAAACGAAATTAAGATTAACTTTCAAATAGACATCTCCAAATTGTTTTCACAAAAATACGCTTCTCCGCCTGTTCCATTATTTATCCTTGTCGTTCTAGATAAAAACGTCCTTTATTTTAATTTCAGATTCGAACTAATGTACGGAGTAACAGAAATCGAGAGCATCAACTTATTGGACCCTCTTACGTTCAGCCAAGGTCTTCTTTTAAAGGAGCGTGATAAAGAGCTGCGCACGTATTTCCGGACCCGGTGCGAGATAAAACCGGAACTCTGCTTGCAGCGCACTCTTGATGAGTACGGTCAGAGCGATATTTCACAGAACAACATCGAGAAGAAAGACGGTGTTTATGATTACAGCGGTTACGAACCTGATCAGGCGTCGCTAGCGAGAAATGCTCTTCTCGATATCTTATCCGACGCCCGTTCCGTAGCGCCGATCGTGCAAATGGCCAGATATCATGCCGCAGTCAACATGCAGTCGTATTTTTATGTTTTCAAACACAGAACACATTCCCGAGAATATATAGTAAGTTTTTTTTCACGTATTTTGTGTTTCGGATGCTATCTCCGCCAATTTCGAATATTTCATTTTAAACATGTAGGTACACTGTTATTGGAAATATTGAAAATTCTTTCCAGTCTCAATTGGATTTGGATGAGCATAAAAATATTGCTCAGTTTTTATATGTTTTCCCGCTTCGTTATTTGCTTGCTCATTTTAAAAATATATTGATTTTGGTTTACCAATGTAAACAATATAGGTATACAAGTTTTTGAATGTTAGTTACAGGAAAACAAATAATTAGAAATGTTACTTTTCGTACAGACCTTATGAAGACAATATAGTAATATTACATTACGTAAAAAATCACGTTTACAGAAATGATGTATAATATCGTCGGCTAGAGTGTTAAGGTGCTAAATCCATAATTTGAAAATAATAATCCGATTCGAATTAGAAAAAGACGAACAGTGGGATAATTAGCAATTTATATATTTTTCAGAACGATTAATTTTTGAAATTATGTAAATCCTTGAATATCCCTGACTACTCAATAGCGGTTAACAAACTTCCTAGTCTTAAGCTTCTTTCGTGAAAACGTATCGAACATACTCCTAGACTGTTACATCTTATATGTCTGTTATATACTCATGTTTTAGAGAGAGAGAATATATGTTTATTCTGCAAGTTAAAATACTTGTTGACAAACACAATATTGTATACAAAGCACAAATAAATAGTCATTAAAATATAAACAAACATTATTATAAATTAACATTTATACAGGGTGTTATTGAAATACACGTACATATTAAAACTGGGTATTGCGCAGATCCCCACTGAATGTAGAAAAATATTATTTTTTAAAAATACCCCTTATAAAGGGAGTTATTAATTTTTGAAAATTAATTCTAAAACAAACGTACTTCACTGATATGTTGAGGATGACCTATATAAATTAGGTTTATTTACCTATTTTAAACATCAACAGTAATTAATATGCAAGTTTTTGTCAGATGATAAGAAAACTAGTCTTGTAAGAAATAACCATGTTGCCAAGATTTTCGAATTAATTTCTATTTCCGAAGACTGGTTTTTACTATCCTCGTTATCAAAAAACTAGAATATTTGATAAATGATTGTTTTTAAACTATACATTTTTGAAACTATAGATTATTAAAATTTTAGTTGATTTACGAATCTGGCTAACACGAGCGCGTCATTTCCAAGTTGGTAAAAAGTGTTGTTACGATTACTTTTAAATATTTTTTTACGATGCCACTATTTACGAATATTGACCTAACGGATATAGTGCTGGTTTATGGGGCAGCTGGAGAAAATTCTCGGCAAGCACAAATCCTGTATCGCGAACGGTTTCCAAATCGGAGAATTCCGGACTGTCGTACGTTTATTTCAACTGTTCAGCATCTAAGAGACCATGGAAAATTTGAGAGTGTCAATGCAGATCGAGGGAGAACAAGAACACAAACAACATTGGCGGCCGAAGAAGAAATATTGGAAGCTGTTGAAAACCGGCCTCAATCAAGTTGTAGAAGACTAGGTCTTGAAATTGGAGTGTCCTCATTTGTTGTGTGGCGGACACTTAAAGAACAAGGTTTACATCCTTATCACATTCAAAAAGTCCAGGCCTTATATCCAGGTGATGAAGAAAAGAGAGTGGAGTTTTGTGAATGGATGATACAAAAATGTGTTGATATTCCTGATTTTCGAAAAATATTATTGTATACTGACGAGGCTTCATTCACTCGTGATGGCGTGTTCAATATGCACAATACGCATATTTGGAGTGATGAAAATCCTCACGCCATTAGGGAAACTGGGCATCAAAGAAAATTTTCAATAAATGTTTGGGCTGGCATAATAGATCAGTATTTAATCGGGCCTTATGTTCTCCCGAACAGATTAAATGGGCCAGGATATCTCCACTTTTTAGAAGATATTTTGCCAGTACTCCTAGAAGAGATACCGTTACAATTAAGGCAACGGATGTGGTACCTACTAGATGGCGCTCCTCCTCACTTTGATTTAAACGTACGGCAGTTTTTGAACATTAGATTTCCTCAAAAGTGGATAGGCAGAAATGGACCTACTAAGTGGCCTCCGAGATCTCCGGACTTAAATCCATGCGATTTCTTTTTGTGGGGTCACATGAAACAACTGGTTTATAATGAACCTATTAATAGTGTTGAACAATTAACCAATAAAGTTAATGCGGTAGCCGAGGAACTACGACAAAATCCAAGACTAATTTCTAATGTTCAAAGTTCTTTGGAAAGACGATTGCAAGTGTGTGTAAATAATAATGGACGGCATTTTGAACAATTACTGTAATAAACTTTATTTTGAATTAATTGGTTTTGCTACGGCAACAGTGCAATTTCTATGGGTAAGTTCAATTTCGATTTATTTTACTTCTTTAAATATGGAAACTAGTAGGTCGGAAAAGGGGACTCTTCCCCAATATTTAAATTTTAGAATTTGAAGTTAAAATTGGTGCCAATCGTTTTTGGTCATTACATACTATTCCCCATTTTAATATGTACGTGTATTTCAATAACACCCTGTATACACATCTATAATAAAATAGAATAAAGCAAAATAAAACACATATCACAGTGTCTCGTTATTATAAAATTCTGTAATATCATATTAGGGCCTAGTTAACAGAAATTGATATGGTCAATTTTCCAGTGAAACCGTATATACACCCGGTAGTGCAATGTTTAAATTGTTTACGCTATGGTCATGTTAAAACTCAGTGCAAAGGTAAAACACGGCGAGGTAAATGCTCACAAGAACACGATGGCAGTATCCCTTGTACAACAGAAAATTATTGTATTCATTGTAGTAACTCCGAACACTCCTCCATCTCAAGAGAATGTCCCTATTACAAAAACAATATAAAATCAAAGAAATAATGGCTTTTTAAAACGTCTCTTTCAAAGACGCAGACATGATTTATAATAACCCATCATACGCAAAAATATCTACGAAAAATCGTTTTGCAATTTTAAATAATCTAGAAAACTTCCTTGAACTTCATCCACTAAACCAAACAGCAACTAATGTGAACATAGTATCTAAATCTAAATATAAACCAAATACCCGACTCTCACCTTCTCAACATAGCAAACGAAAGAAGCCCGAGTCGCCCTTGCCATCCACTTCCCAAGAAGCCCCATCATATAAAAAAGAAAAATAGATCGCACTTGCCCTTTAATCCTCCCAAATCCTCATAGAAATTACTTCATGTTATTTAAATAAAAACTGATAATGAATATTTCCAGTTTTATTATTGAAGCGATAAAAAACACTAAACCTTTAAATAATGAACATATTAAAGACTATATTGGTGAACTTTTCTACTAAATGGATAAAAACATCAACAATAGTAGTGTAAGTGATTATATTATAATACCAATAAGTGATGATGACGACCCATCACACTAACAATAAATTCAATATATTACAGTGGAATTGTCATTCAATTAACGCTAATAATTTTATTGAACTAAACTCTTGTGATATAATTGTTGTATCAGAAATATGGCTCAAACCCAATTCTAATTTTTTTATAAAAGGATATAACTTTATACAGAGTTGTAGAAATGATGGTTACGGGGTGTTGGTATATTTGTTGTTTAAGGTATAGATTATAAAGAACGGAAAATAAATAAAACATTTAATAAAGGAATCGAAGCATGTGCAATAGATATTAACTGTGCAAACTTAACAATAGTTTCTATATACTGTTACGAATAAATAGAACACCCTGTGAATAGGTATGTTATGATTTGTAAATTTTGTCCAAGGGCATGCACATTAAATACATTTGCAATAAAATAACAAAACGTGTAGTTGGACAAGGTTTTATTAAATCATAATATTAAAGTACAGGGTCAAGAAAGATCAACACGAGCATTCTTGGAAAATTACAAGTGAATTTTCTGAGAGTTCCTTTGGGGTTTTTGTTGGCGATCGGTCGTGTCCAGTTTTTGGCACTAAGTAAATTTCGGGTCCGTCACGCGAAATCGCGGTTAGTTTTATTTTGTGTAAAACCACGTAGTGGAAAAAGTAACGTGTGCCTTTAGCCAGTCCTGCTGCCCAACGGATAACAATGTTAATGTAAGTAGATACTTTTAAGGAGTAATATTTAATTGTGTAGTTAGCAAAGATTATTGAAGTGCTATATTTATATATTTGTTAAATAAACCATAGTTATTTGTTTTACGCTTGTTGTTTCAATCTTTCAAGTTAGGGTTCCTTAGGTCTTCCCGTCTGAACTTAACCCCCTAGCCGTGTGTTATCTAGAGGCCAATTTAAATACGAATTGGGCCCCTATATATAACCCGTGGTTACCGCTAAGAGTGGACTTTAGGGCCAGTCAAAAGGACCCATAATCTCACTCTTAACAATACAAACCTCAAAATGTCAAAGTCACTCAGCAAGACTGGGAAAAATTGTTCTAACAATTCACTAACAAAACAATTTTTTGTGGAGATTATAATGCCCATCACCCCTCTTGGGACCCAATTCCGGAAGATCCAAATTGTAGAATTATCTATAATTCATTAGATAGCCTTGATTTAGTTACATTAAATGACAGCATTCCAACTAGAATTTCCTCAAGCGGCATTTTATGCAATGCAGTATGTTTCTTTTAGGGCGTACAGGATCAAAACGTATGAGAACAATAAGTAGGATTTTTACTTCATAAATATCTGTGTTGTTAGGCTGTGTATACACGAACTAGTGTTTTTTTTTTTTTTGATAATATTTATTTATACACATTTTTCTGGTTCTTTTTTCAACAAATACTTTTCCGCTGTTATGTGTATATTGCGCATGCAAGATAACTCATTTGTTATTTGTGAAATTGTATGTTTTAATTTTTAAACGCTTTGCTTAAAGATATTGGGTCTTGATTGTTGAATTTTTATCAGGATGTTTTTTTCCCGGTAATAATTTTTTTAAGAAGTTCCGTGGAAGACTTCAGGTAGGTA